ATCAAATTTAACAATTTTGTTTAGTCTCCTGAAATCTAAACAAAGCCGATGTTTTCCATCCTTTTTAGGCACAACTAAAATAGGAGTCGAGAACGAGGAGTCCGATGCTTCAATAATGCCAAGTTGCATCATATGAGAGAGCTCTTCTCTCACCACATCCTCTAAGTTGCGTAAAATTTCCTTTAGATCTTCTTGCTGATCGTCTGGTAAATGAATATTGCAATGTACGTCTTTCCACGTCTCCTGCTGGCGATAACTGGGAATTGTAATTAATTTACCTTGCACAGCGTCGGACGCCACCACGGCGACGGCGGTTTTCTCCGTTTTCTTTTCGCCTTCGCGGTACAACGTAACGCTTCAACATGTTAACGTGATATTTTCTCGGAGTCCCGTTTACATCCACCACCTTGTTCCATTTGCTTGGGCTGCCTAAGACTCTGAACGGTCCCTTCCACTGGAACAACAGCTTGTTGGTACTGGTAGGCAACAGTAGCAAGACGTCATCGCCAACCACAATATTTCGGTCTTTGGTTTTCTGGTCGTAGTAGTGCTGGGCTACCTCCTGCGCCTGTTTTAATTCTGTTAAAGCCATTCTACATGTATTTTCCAACCTTTCTCGTAGGTTAATTACATACTCATATGCAGACTTTACCTCATCATCAACCGGACTGCCGTCCCATAACTCACGCAGCAATGTTAGCGGTCCTCTTACGGTGTGTCCGTAAATCAGCTCGAAGGGCGAGAATCCCGTGCTGGCCTGGGGTACTTGGCGGTAAGCAAATAGAAGGGGCGCCAAGTAGCGGTGCCATTCCTTGGGCTGCTCAACACACATCCTTTTAAGCATTTTCTTTAGTGTCCCGTTAAATTTTTCAACAAGACCATTGCACATAGCATGGTATGGTGTAGTGGTCAAAGACTGAATGGAAAGTAAGCGATATACTTCTTTCATTATGTCAGAGGTAAACTGTGTCCCCTTGTCAGATAAAATCTCTCTAGGCACACCTACCCTGCTGAAGATTGTAACCAAGGCCTCTGCTACTGTAGGTGTGTCAATGCTTGGAAGAGCGACAGCCTCGGGGTACCGCGTAGCATAATCCACTGCCGTCAGGATGTACCGAGAGCCATTTGAAGATCGTGGCTCAAGCGGCCCCACCAGGTCTACGGCCATGCGAGAAAATGGTTCACCAATGAGCGGCATGTCACCCAGTCTGACCTTGCTCACCTTCCCCTTATCCACCGTCCGTTGACACACGTCGCATGATCTGCAGTAGCGAGTTACAGCGACGGTAACACCTGGCCAAAAGAAATGTGCAAGTATTCTATCTTTAGTTTTGCTTGTGCCCAAGTGGCCTCCCATAATGCCTGAATGGGCCAGCTCCAGGATAGCTTGGCGACACGCTTGAGGAACAATGAGTTGATCCCGTTGTCGCTTTCCCGTCTTCACATGTCTGTACAGCAGTCCTCTTTTCAAAACGAATTTAGATATTTCATTATTTTTCATCCTTTTAAAAACTTTACCTTTTTGTACGTATATCCGAATTCCATCCAAACTTTTATCCTCTTCTTGAGTTTTCTGTATATTCGTGTTCAACATTTTCGTAACCTCTGCTATCTTCAACACTGGTGTCTTCCTTTTACATTCACTCTCGAATCTGGTCTGCATTCTCGTCATCACTCCACACTTTTCCGTTCGTGCGTCGTCCTCACCTGTACTTGCTCCTGGTATTTCCCCGATTATCAAGTCATACAGGGGCTGTGGTATACATACGGCATTCACCCTCCCAGTATAATAGGGGGTTTTGACATCAATTACTGCTTCAGGGTAGTAATAAATTTTAGAATTTGCCATCATTATGCCCACTTCCTTACCAGTCAATTTAGACGACGGAACCAGACTTCTCCTTACCAACACTGTTGAACATCCTGTGTCCCTCAGTACTACGGCTTTTCTTCCTTCTACTTCTCCTCTAGCAGTCTTCAACTTCTCCTTACCTTTGGCTAGAGTTCCTCCACACAATTCCTCTCCATCTACAGCTTTCCTTTCACTCTCCTTTGCTTCTCCTCGATTCCATTTCACACTAGTTTCTGGTGCAACTACAACACTGCTTACTTGCGCGGCTGCATCTTCCTTCCGCGGCTGTGGTCTGCTCGTTTTTCCTCGAACATTCGGTGGCCTGAAATAACATTCCCATGCCCTGTGTCCCCGTTTATTACATATGAAGCAAGTTACCTGGCCCCGCACTGCGCCTTTTTCCGTTGCTGGGATGCTGGGCGTTGAGGGCTGAGGTGGGCGGAATACCTGCGACTGGTGTGTCATTGCTCGAGTCCCTTGGTTTCCGTGGGCCTCGAGGAAACGATCCGCGTTCTCCTGTAGCTCTTGTAAAGTTCTTAGAGATCGCTCTTTTAGGAATAAACTCAGGTTACGGTCACATGAGGATAGAAATTGCTCTCTGATGATCAGTTCCTTTAAAACCTCGTACTCTTTTTCACATTCCGCCATCTCAGTCCATCTCTCAAACAGTTTTGTCATTCTTGCTATTAATTGTTTGGCAGTCTCTCCCCGTAGAAAATTTACAGTTTCTAAATTTAGTTCTAAAACCCTCAGCTGTGCAATCAAATCCCTTTAATAGTGCTGATTTTACCAGCTCAAAATTATTTGCTTCTGAAGGGGTTAATTGGTGATATATGTCAAGGGCTTTACCTTGCAATAAGGAGGCTAAACTGATGGCCCACACTTCTTCGGACCAATCTGCGTTCCTAGCGAACCTTTCAAACCGCTGAAGGTATGCATCAATGTTATCGCATTTATCATTGAACACAGGTAATTTGGGGTACTTTACCTGTACTTTTGCAGTGTCGTGGTGTGCCACCTCATCTACCACAGGGAACTCTTTTTTTAACTCCAGCTGCCTTATCTTCAATTCTTCTTTCTTTAACTCTGCTTCCATCTTTGCAGTTTCAAATTTTCTCCTTTTTTCTTCATCGTCCATCTCTTTCTGCTTCCATGCTCTTTCCTCCTTCCTTTCTTCTCTTGCTGCTGCCTCTTTCTCCCGTTCATACTGCATGCCTTGTTTTATGAACTGGGCTAATTCTACGCCCGTGAGCCCCAGATCTCTACCGATCTGGTGTAGCTTTTCTGTCTCCATGCTCCAATTCCCTTTTGAAAGGACTTTTCACGAAGGTCGTCCCTGTTCGGGCGCCAAAATGTTATGTATCGGGTTCTTTGTCTGTTTAAGAAACGACCTTGCCTTTTTATGGGAACTTTGGAGCAGAAATAAAAGCTTTTGTAGGCTATAAGAATTTCTTTTATTAGTCTTATTTTGTAAAGTATTAGCTTTGAAATAATGAGGGGTACAGGAACCTCGCCTTCTCTGGTCAGGATTGGATCTTGCCCTCGCATGAGTAGTGTGGAGCGTTTGGAGCTCACCACTCGTCTGACGTTGTCGGCTTCTTCACCCCACCACCTCAGCTGCTGGCGCGCAACTTAAGTTTCCTTGGCGGCTTCCTTGGCCGTGACGTCACTTCATACCCGCCACCACTTATCACTGTCGTTTACCATTTAATTTGCTTATGGTAAATTTAGTTTAAGTTTGGTGTTTATTTTAATGTTTAGAAATAAAAGCTAATTATTATTAAAAGTATATTGTCAATACTTGACATATATATATATATATATATATATATATATATATGTGTGTGTGTGTGTGTGTGTGTGTGTGTGTGTATGCGGGTATATATATATATATATATATATATATATATATATATATATATATATAAAGAGAGAGAGAGAGAGAGAGAGAGAGAGAGAGAGAGAGAGATGTATACATATATAAACAACATATATTACCTCAATAAAGCTAGGCACACCTACAGATGAATATGAACCGGCACAAAGCTGATACCCACAAGTAATCGACATCACCCCCCCCCCCCCCCACCCAGGCCTTTGCCATCGCACACACTCTGGTCATGACTTCCCATCATGTGAGCGCGAATGGCAATGAAATCGACCACTTTCACCTCTTTGCCAGTTTCGTCTTCCTATGCCGAGGTATGGCGTTGTCTTGGGGAAATAGGTTTGTCTTTAAGGGTCTGTTTTTTTTTGTGTTTTATTTTGCTGTCTTTGCATCTCCCTCTTCCCCTATAGCCCCCCCCCCTCTCCCTCATCCCTATCTCCTTCTTCCCCCATTTCCCCCTCCCCCCCATCCCTGTCTCCCTCTTCCTCTATCTCCCCCCCCTCTTCCCCATCCCTGTCTCCCTTTTCCCATCTCCCCACCCCCTCCCCCATCCCTATCTCCTTCCTCCCCATCTCCCTCTCCCCCTCCCCTTCCCCTTCTACCCCTCCCCCTCCCCTCCCCCATCTCCCCTCCCCTTCCTCCATAGTTCCCCCGATGTCAGTCCCCCAAGGTTGACTCTGAGGAAATGACAGTCCTTGCCACCTCCCCCCCCCCCCCGCCCCTACCGAGGTCGTTTACACTGATATTAAGTCTCGCCGATTCTTTTCTCATCCGGCCAGTCGGGGATAGGCTTCGGAGCGAGGGAGGGAGAGAGAGAGAGGCGGCTTTTCAACACACGGCGAAGCTGGTAGGATAATATTTTTATTTTATTTTTTTGGGGGGTGTTTTGTGTGTGTGGGAGGGGGGGGGGGGGTTGTGGGTGTGTGTGTTTGGGGGGGGGGGTTTGTGTGTGTGAGTGTGTGTGTGTGTGTGTGTGTGTGTGTGTGTTTGTGTGTGTGGGTGTGTGTGTGTTTGTGTTTGTGTGTGTGGGTGTGTGTGAGTTTGTGTTTGTGTGTGTGAATGCGTGTGCATGTGTACTAGTGTACGCGTATTTTTTTGTGTTCATTTGTGTGATTTATTGTTGGCATTACAGATTTTAAAAATATCTATTTGTTTGTTGTTCTCCCCATCTTTACTTTATCTTAGTAACCTTATTGGTGAGTCGAAAAGGAAATTACGAAGAAATTAAGCTTTTCGAGATAACAGTGTCGAGTTGCAGTGAAAAGTGAGAATATGTGAGATGCTATGGAAAGGAATATTTTCTCGTGGACTGCATCGCGCATTCCGTTGGTTGAGTTACGAAGAAAAGTTTTTTTTTTTTTTTTAAGGTGCATTGAGTTTACTTTTATACTCTTAAGGACTTTTGTCTATTTCCTTACATTCTTTATTTCTCTTGCTGTCCGTCCGGCCGTCTGTCCATATGTCTGCTTGCCTGTCTCTGTTTCACTCTCTCTGTCTCTCTCTCTATTTTTGTCTCTCTCTCTCTGTCTCTCTCTCTCTCTCTCTCTCTCTCTCTCTCTCTCTCTCTCTCTCTCTCTCTCTCTATATATATATATATATATATATATATATATATATATATATATATATATATATATATTTGTGCGTGTGTGTGTGTATGTGTGTGTGTGTGTGTGTGTGTGTGTATGTGTGTGTGTGTGTGTGTGTGTGTGTATGTGTGTGTGTGTGTGTGTGTGTGTGTGTGTGTGTGTGTGTGTGTGTGTGTGTGTGTGAGTTTGAGTGTGTCTGTGTGTGTGAGCGTGCTTGCGTGTGTATGTGACTGCATGTGCGCACGCGTTATCAAAGCAAGTCATTGGATTCGGTCTCCATCTGTTTTCACTAAATTGAGGTCAGATCCCCCAGCCTTTACTCAGTGACTCACCCACCCACTCTCTCTCTGGATCTGGATCTCATACCACACTGTATTTTCATTTCTGTGTAGTCTTCGTCGATTTCTTCCTTTCCCTTTCTTTAACCTTCTTTTTCTCCTTCTCCTTAAAAGAGAAAAAAATCTTCTCTTTGGCCTAAATTTTCCACAATCATTCCGTTTTCTGTCAGAGTCATTAACCCCGCATCATGAATTCCTGAGTGACTCACCCGGCATTAAGGTCACTCACTCTCATTCATCTTCAGGCACATGCATCCGTAGTGAATGTACAGTATTCAGTATAACTATCTGCATATGTATATATATATATATATATATATATATATATATATATATATATATATATATATATATATATATATATATATGAATGTGTGGTTATGTGTGTGTGTGTGTGTGTGTGTATGTGTGTAATAATAGTAATAATAAGGATAATGATACTACTATTACTAATGCTGATGATAATAATGATGATGATAATAATAATGATAATGATAATGATAGTAATAGTAATAATAATAATAATAATAATAATAATAATAATAATAATAATAATAATAATAATAATAATAATAATAATAATAATAATAATAATGGTAATAATAATACCATTGATAATAATAATGTTAATGATAATATAGATAATAACATAGAAATAATAATGGTAATAGTAATAATAATAGTAATAGCAATCAAACTTAGAAGAAATTACAACAAACATAAAAAGATCATGAATTAGAATAATGTTTTTTCCCTTCAACTAAAACATACAAATTACTTACAAAATTGCAGTCACGTGCATAGTGCAACAAAATTTCAACATCACTCCTACTCCTTCAAAGTCATGCAACACAGACGTCGCCTTGCAAATTCAGCAATAGACTTTGCTGATTGATCTCTCGTTGGAAAGTTGATGCCGTTTCTTGATAAGTTGCAATTGTGCATGATTGTTGTAACTCAAGGTGACTGACTAAAACTGTTGCAATTTTCTTCATTTCTTCTTTTTTTTCTTTTTCTTTTAATTCGTTATCATTTTTGTTTTTATTCTTGTTTCTGTTCTTCGTACGATTTTTGTTATTTTGCTTCTTTCTTCGTGTTCTTCCCTCTTCGTTTTTTTTTATCTATTTATTTATTTTATCGGTTCCTCTTCCTCCTCTTTTTCTATTTCTTTGTTTACTTTGTATTTCTTCCTCCATATCTTCCTCTTCCATTTCTTCTACTTTATTTATGTCTCTTTTCTTCTTTTCTTTTTGACTTTGCTTCTAGGCTTCGTCTTTTTGTTGCGGTCTTGTGTAAATCCTGAGAGAAAAAAAACAGTAATAATTGATGATAAATTAAAAAAAAGGAAAAAGAAAAAAGGAAGAAAGAAAGAAAGAAGGATAGAAAGAAAGAAAGAAAGAAAGAAAGAAAAATAAAGAAAGTAGGAAAGAAAGAAAGGAAGAAAGAAAGAAAAAAGTATATATATACATACATACATATATATATATATATATATATATATATATATATATTATATATATATATATATATATATTATATATATATATATATATATATATATATATATATATATATATATATATATATATATATATATATATATATAATATATATATATATATATATATATATATATATATATATATATATATATATATATATATATATATATATATATATATATATATATATATATATATATATATATATATATATATATATATACACATAAAGGGCTAAATGTATAGATTATTATGATCCAGTTATGGAATTCATTCTATTTTTCTCTTCTTTAAACCAAAATCCCGAGACACCGACTTGCAGCAAATAAAA